GCATGTAAATGGCAATAGAACATAGAACATAGAAGAGTACAGCACATGAAGGGGCCCTTCGGCCCACAAAGTTGTGCCAAACGTGATGCCAAATTAAACCAATGCCTCCTGCCTGCCCTTGGTCCAATCCCTTCATTCTTTGCAAATTCATGTGCATATCTAAAAGTACTTTAAATGTTCCTATCACATCTGCGTCCAGCATCCGTGGCTGCAAGTTCCAGACCCCTACCACTCTCTGTGCATAAATCATGCCCCTCACATCTCCTTTGATCATTCCCCCTCTCTCCTTAAATGCATGCCGCCTTTTCCAGATGTTTCAACTCTGGGAAAATGATTCTGACTGTCAACACTAGCTAAGCATTTCATAATTTTATAGACTTATACCAAGTCTCCCCTCAACCTCCACTGCTCCAGAAAATAAAAACAAGTTTTTCTAGCCTCTCCTTATAGCTCATAATCCAGCAGTACCCTGGTAAACCTCTTCTGCACCCTCTCCAAAGCCTCCATGTTCTTCCTGTCATGTGGCAACAAGAATTGAACGCAATATTCTAAAGTGTAGCCTGACCAAAGATGAATAAATCTGCAAAATGACATCCTGACTCTTATACTCAGTTCCCTGACCAAAAGTGATAAATATACCATCTGCCTTCTTTACCAGCCTGTCTACTTGCGTGGCTACATTCAAGGAGATATGGACTTGAACCCTTGATCCCTATTTACATGAATGTGGTCAGGGTCCTGTTGTTTACTTTTCCTTGACATTTGACATTTTATCTCCCAAAGTGCAGCACCTCACGCTTACTCTGACTAAACTCCATCTGCCATGCCTCCACCCATATCTGCAACTGATCTATATCCTGCTATATCCTTTGACAACCTTCTATACTATCCACAACTCCACCGATCTTTGCATCATCTGCAAACTTACTAACCCACCCATCTACATTTACATGCAAGTCACTTAAGTATATCACAAGCAGCAGAATCCCAGTATGAATCCCTGCGGAACACCACTGATCATGGTCCTCCAGCCGGAAAAACACACTTCCACCACTGCCCTCCGCCTATTATGGGCAACCCAATCCTGAATCCACGTGGCCAAGTCACCATGGTCCAGTGCCTCTTCGCCTTCTGGATGAATCTACCATGAGGCACCTTGTCGAAAGCCTTACTAAAATCCATTTAGACAACATCCACTGCTCTACCCTCATCAATCACCTTTGTGAGGTCCTTGAACAATTCAACCAAGTTGTTAAAATATGACCTACACCTGGGAGTGTTGCTGAACAAAGACACCTTGAAGTGCAGCTCCTTGAAATTGAAGTTGCAGGTAGACAGGGTAGTTAAGAAGATGTTTGATATGCTTGCTTGTAATGGTCAGTGCATTGAGTGTAGGATCTGGGTGATCATTTTACGGCTTCACAGGATATTGGTTAGACTGCTTCGAATACTGTATTCAATTCTGGTCTCCCTGCTACTGGAAAGATGTTGTGAAACCTGAAAGGGCTCAGAAAAGAGTTACAAGGATATTGCCAGAGTTGGAGGGTTTGAGCTATAGCGTGAGGCTGAACAGGCTGGAGCTATTCTACCTGGAGCGTCAAGCCTTAAGGGTGACCTTATAGAAGATTATAGAGTGAAGAGGGGCATGGATAGGGTGAATAGCCAAGATCTTTTTCTCAGTGTCAGGGAGTCCAAAACGAGAGGGTATTATTTTAGTGTGAAAGCGGAAATATTTAAAAGGGACCTAAGGGGCAGCTTTTTCACACAGAGGGTGATGCGTGTATGGAATGACCTGCCAGAGGAAGTGGTGGAGGCTGGTTCAATTACATCATTTAAAAGGCATAGGAAGTGTTTGGAGGGACATGGTCCAAAAGCAAGCAAATGGGACTCGATCAAATTTTGTATCTTGTTGGCATGGACGAGTTTGATTAACGGGTCTGTCTCCACGCGTTACATCTCAATGATTCGATGACTCTATTGACAAATGCCTGACACTGTTTGAGGAAGTGACTCTTCTATAGAGAGCTTGAGTCAGTGGTACACTCTCAGGGCTATCAAGAGACACATTACAAGGACATGTGTAAGGCTTTACTGAAGAGTTTGGATTTTAGTTTCTCGTCCTGGGAAAAAAAACTTGTGTACAACAGCTGACTTGACACAAACAAATCAGAGAACAATGTGCTGAATAAGGGTCATTGGAACTGAAATGGTAACCCAGATTTGTCTCCACAAATGCTGTCAGACCTGCTGAGATTTTCCAGCAACTTCAGTTCTTATTGTTGTTGTTGAAGAGAATGATGCAGACTCTTTCAAAATCAAGCGCATGTCAAATGAAAAAAAGTCAAGAAGAGGAATTGTCGAGCCACCAACTTGTCCAAACCTCAATCTGCCATGTGTTACTCTACTTGCAGCAACTATGACCTCCTCCTTGGCCTGCTGTCTGCACCTATTGATGGCTATTTGGCCAAGCCCAGGAGAGACCTACAAATCACTTCTCCAATTTGAAGATCCCAGCTGTTATCCGCCTGTTATCCACTGACACTGCTATCTCTGTTTCAAATTAGTAAGCAATTTACATGCAGAGCCCATTAAGGGCAATGTAAGCTAAACAGCAACCATAAAAGCCAATTACGAAGTAGAAAGCCCAGTGAACATCACGAGCTCTGAATACAATTCTGGACCTGTTCTCTTTGACCCTCAAAGGGATATATTTTCTTACAGTGACACGACGAGCTAGAGCGAAAGCTATTTTGGATCATTGTGTAATTAGACAGGATCATATCTGGAAGAGTTTTGTCTTACAATTGATTTTCATACTAAATTTGAAAGTGATATACTCCAGTCTCAAACCAAGATCATAAATTGAAACTAAAACATTTACACAGGTATGACTGAAGATCTGGCTGAAGTTGGTTGAGCCTGAAGGGGTGAGTGTTTCATTAACCAGCAAATGGATGCCAAAAAATTGCTACAAAGGTAACAAATAGAATCTGAGTATAAACTAAGAAGGAAAACGTAAACAAATTGTAGATGTTTTTACAGGCTAATAACTTCGGCAAAGAAATCAAGAGTTATATATGCAAGTTTGCTGATGCCATAAATTTGGATGTGGGAGAAATTAGTGAGGGACACAAAGTTGCTGCCAAGTGTTATAAGTGAACGAGCATCATGGTGACAGATGGAGCATAGTTTGGGAAATGTGCGATTTTTCACATTGAATTGAGGCAGAAACAAATTTGGCAAAGCTCGGCTGGAATTTGATCCTGCACCAAATTTCTGCAAGAATATCTTGTGCAACCAACGAGAGGTAGAAATTACTTCAGATCATTGTGCATTACACCAAGGTTAATTAGTAATCTCATGGTTGTATATCCATGGAAAATGTTTTGAAATACAATTGCATTTCACCTTAAATTATTTTCATATTTGTATTGCGAATACTTTATTGAATAGCAGAGTAGATTTGATGGACTATATGATCTACGCCTATTATATTTTTTAATTATATTATATTGTTTAATGCATAACTTGTGGAAAAAAGGCTGCATTTCATGCTGATTTGCAATCAAGTTTGTCCTAAGAAACATCACCTAATTATGGTGATAAATGTATTGTTATAATAATTGTTTGTTGATTTCATGGACGTGTTTCATGCTTTAAATTGTGTGAGGCAATTGCCATCTTGTCTTTGCCAGTAACACTAAGGGTTGCACGGTGTCTCAGTGATTTACACTGCTGCCTCACAGTGACAGGGAGCTGGGTTCAATTCCACTCTTTCCAAACTGTCTATACGGAGTTTGCACATTCTCCCTGTGTCTACGTGGTTTCTTCTGGTTGCTCCAGTTACTTCCCATAGTCCAAAGATGTGCATGTTAGGTGGGCTGGCCATGCTAAATTGCCCATGGGATCTCAGGGAGTGTCCATTAGATGAATTAGCCATGGGAAATGCAGGGTTACAAGGATAGGGTAGATTGTGGGATGGTCTTTGGAGGGTTGGTGTGGACAGGATGGACTACATAGCCTGCTTCCATACTGTAGGGATTCTATGATTAAATATAATGGCACAATGGTTTACTCATAACAATCCATTAAGTGAACTTAGCTTGTTGTGCTATAGACTGTGCTGTGACTCAGTTGGAAGCATTCATGTCTGTGAATTCACATTTGTGACATCTCGCCTGATACTCGGAGCTACGGACAAATGGCCAGTGTAATACTGAGGGAATGTTACACTTTCAGATACTTTGTCTCTTGGATGACAACCGCCATCTGTGGATCCTGGAACAAGATTTAAAAGAAGGGCAGATGAGGCCAATATATGTTCCTCATAACATAACAAGGATGGATTATCGATTTATGTGGAATTTGCTATGCGTAGTTTGGCAACTACGTGTTCTTCATGAAACGCTGAATACCCTTTCAAACTACTTCACTAGTTATAATACCTGTTGAGATATCCTGTGGTCATGAAAGAAAATGGTTTTACTGCCAATATATATAAACCTCTTTTACATGATATAATTGAACAGTGTCACCTGCTGGAAATAAAGAATAAATAGCCAGAGAATCCATGTCATTTACAAGTGAAATGCAACAACTGGCTGGAAAAAAATTGACATTAACTTTATTAGGAATAGGTCTCGAATAAATTGTGCTGTGATCCATGCTGATCGCAAAATCACTGAGCGTTTCATACATAGGAGATTGCTTCTTCCTCACAAAGAGAGAACTGTAGCAGCTATGAAACTCTCTGCTGCATATTTAGCAATAGTCATGTTGAACAGAGTTCTTTGTGGTCATCACATATATTTCAGATGCCTGATCAGTTGGCTGCAGAAGAGTAATTACACAAAATTCATCAAATTGTTGAATCATAATGGGTTACTGAGGGATGTTGGTTTTTTGCTGGAAATTCTCCATCACCTACATACATCTGGAAAGTGAGGAAGATATTTGTTTGAAAACAGACACATTTTAAATACTCAAGACGAAACCAGTACAACATTGCCAATGGTTTTTTTTATTTGTACATACCATCAAAGTCAATTTTGCCATCATTGTTATTGTCGTACAACATCATGAGTTCATGAATTTCCTCCTCTGTAACATGCTCCCCAGAACCCTTGAGGACCTCAATCAGCTCGTCGTAATCGATAAAACCATCAGCATTGCTACAGTCAGCAAGAAAAATCCGATTGTTTCCAATCCAGCAATGTTATCTACCTTACCAAAATAGAAGTTGCTGCATGAGAAAAGATCAGATCCATCTAATTTCACTTTCTTTCTGCCTGGAAATTTAAATTATTTAATCTAATCAAGTAATCCATTTTAATCACTGGCGTACAACAAATCTAGATATGATGCATGAACATATTAGGAAACAGCTTCAGACATCTTAGGCCGAAAGTCACCTGTTCCATCCAAAAATGGTACATTTCCCACACAATGTCTCAAATTACTGAAGACCTGAATTGAATAGTGTGCTCTCTTGTCTGAAAGCAATTACAAATAATTTGTCATTATACCCTTCTATTAAGTTCAATCGTACCGAGCTTCCCTTTAATTGCAATTATAATATTGAATCACACTTTCTCTTGTTCCACAATTTTGTTCATGACTGTTTTTTTTCCTGAGTATCTTGTATTGATTTTCTCCATTTATTTTCTCCATAGCGTTTTACGTGGATATAGGTGATGCTGACAGGGACGGCATTGCTGTCCAAGCCTAATTGCTCTTGAACAGAATTGCTTGTTCAGTAATTTCAGAGTGCAGTTACAAATCAGACACACATCTACTGGTCTGGAGACATATTCAGGCCAGCTAGGTAAGGATGGCAGATTTTCTTCCTGAAAGGACACAAGTGAACCACATAGGTTTTCACAACAATCAATAACACTTGTCACAGTCATCACTGACATTACATTTATGCTGCAGATTTATTAATTGAGTTTTCTATTTCACGAGCTCACAGGATGAGATTTGAGAATTTGTTCCTGGAGCAACAGCATGAGCCACTGGCTCGCTAGTCCAGTGACATTTCCACCATCTCCCTGAAGTGAAAACATGCTGTCTGTCCAAGTTGTCAAAACATCTATGAATTTTACATCCGTGTATGGATCACCCTTTAGTCTTCTTTACTGAAGTGAAAATAAACTCAAATGTTAATCCAATCCTGATGTGTACACTTAAGGATTTTTAGTCTCAAACATGTAAATCCTGACAGAACTATCTCCAGGTGCCTGTTATATCCTTTTTAGAAAATCATGAAAGGGACTACATGTGACATACTATGCGGATGAAACAAATTTCAATAAATGTTTGACAGTTGCTAGTTTTGCTCGAAATGTTTCTAGCACCAAATGTTTCTATATTTCGACCTCAATTCAGATTTGAAGAAGTTATGTATGACCCAAACACAAACT